AAAAAAAAAAAAAAATAAAAAAAAAGGTCGGGATTCCTGCCGTCACCAGTCGAGCATTCGCTCGACACTTTTTCCTCTCGTCGCAACATCTGGAGGGAAAACGGATGAAAGAGGAGGAGGGACCACCCGAAGTCTTGCCGAAGAAAGCAGCGGATGTGAATCGAAATGCAGCAATGTATATTGAAATGCAGCGATGCATCGCGCGGTTGCAGGCGGGGACAATGCGCCCTGACTCGACTCGAATCCTCGCGTCGGTCCGTGCCGAATCGCGAGACGGCGAAAAGCGAAAGCGGGACCCGATTGGCTCCTGCCGTTCGGGGACCGACCAATCGGATCGGACCTCCCCGGTGACGTCACGGGAGAGAAGGGATGACGCTGTCCCAGTTTGCGACGGTGAATCGGCGGAATCGAAGGTGACTGGATTTCCCCGGTTTCCACGAGGCCACTTTCACCTCGATCGATCGTCGGCGGCGCGGAACGCGAGATTCCATCCACGCGACGCCGAAGGGATCGATTTTTCGGCTCGCGATCCGTGCCCCGAGGGGGAACGGGGGCTTTCAAGGGCAGCTGGATGCGGGCCGGGTGTCCGCATTCGGACCATTCCGGGAAAATGAGATCCGTGTAATATGCATACGAATGTATTTTTGAGTGCATTGTTTCTGTTGTATTCTGGGTGCGCCTGACGAGACTGCGAGATGCGCCACACCCTTTCCCCGCATTCCACATCCTTTTTCGCATCCTCTTTCGAGACGAATCCCTTCGAAGGCCGGCTCGGGGGGGCCGATACTGACTCGTTATATCTGTTACGAAGCGTGACCGAAGCGTGATCGAATGCACGCCAACTTTTCGAAAATGCGAAATCCGTTAGGCCTATACGAAAACGCGGATGAAAAGGATCGATCCGGTCCGATTTGAAACCGGGACGAAGAAAAACGAAGCAGGGAGACTCACCTCTGACGATCGAAAGACGCCGGAACGAGCGAAGAGACACGAGAGAGAACCGGCACGCACGGTGGAAGGAGAGGATCTCCCCGGTGCATTCACGGGGGAGCGAAGCGCCTTGAGGCGTGGAGGACGAGGCATCACTCCCGCCATCTACCTCAGAGCGGTGCCATTCACCTGAGGCACCCGGGCGAGGGGCCCTCGGTCGGGGGATGGCATTCGAGTCGAGGCGGTCGCGGAGGTGGGGAGGACGCTCCCCGTGCTTTCCGGTTCTCTTTTGTGCGGGGGTGTTACGCGTGGCAGTGTGCGGTTTTCGTCGATGTGCTCCAGCTGCGAGTCGCGAACCGATTCCGGGTGACTCGCGTTCGTTTCGGTGCCGCAGATGGATATCTTGCAGTGCGGTCGGATGGTGCTTGTGGCTTTTCCGGCTTCTCGCGGCGCTTCGTAATTTCGGAGCGGAAAGAGAGGCCTGCACGATCGTCGATTAATCAAAGCCGATAATCGTTTTGTGTAACCTACATTATGCTCATGAAGGATCATGTCGTGCGATGATACATTTCACGTGGAGAGATTAATAGCTCGCGAGAAGAAATGGGGCTGTCAAAATTTGCAATTGACGCATTGAAAATGAACAGGGTTCATTGCGTAACGGAAAGACTAGGCCTATTCGTCGGGAAGCGATTCCGGATCGACACGGACGCGTTTGAGGGTCAGGAAAGGCGCGAACCGCAATACCAGGATCCGATTCCAATCTTGCAGCATTATCCGTGCGAGGAGGGCGATGGAGTGACTGGTTGCGACATCTGTGAGACGATCGGAGAAGTTTGTAGTTCCCAATTGCGACTCAAGATGACGGGTCTGATCACGAACGACTACATCCTCGAGCTGCTGAACCTCTTCCAAACGGCCGAGGTTCCATTCGTCGTTCCTCGAACTTCCTCGCGAACCGGCGAGTGCCGGGTACTAAGTACTAAGTACTGGGACTTGGCTCTGTCGCAGGTGGAGCCGGGGAATTGGTTTCAGAAGCTGGTCGGGAGCGTGAGGACGGACGTCGTTCTGAAGGACGTTTCGCTTGAGGTCCGCGGCGGCGAGGTCATGGCCATCCTGGGATCCAAAGGCATGTCCATCGATCGCTAGTCGGGGACGTCGACCTTGAGGGGATCGGTGTCCTTTGACACGTGTCGTGTCGTGAGGTATTTCGTGTGGTACTTGCTGATTTGAAGTGGTGAATTGGGATGCAGGGAGCGGGAAGAGGACGCTGCTGGAAAGCATCAGTCGGAGGGCGCAGGGACCGCGGCGGGGTCAGGTGCTGCTCAACGGGGTTCCGATGACCAAGAAGCTCTTTCAGGAGTCGTGTGCCTATGTGCCCTTTAAGACCGACCTTTTACCAGGTATTTATCATTTTTTTGTATATTTTTATTTCTTTAAGTTTTTTTTTCTCTGGGGATTTGTGTTTTGAGGGCTTTTTTGGGGGGATTTTTAAGGGCTGTCGGTCCGCGAGACGCTGCGATACGCATCAAAACTGACCATCAGCGACACCAAGGTCTCCGACGCCGTGAAGCGAGCTCGAGTCAAACAGGTCAGCCGATTTCTCCCCTCTCGCTCTATTCCCGCCTTTTCGACCACGACGCAACGAAGGTGCGACCGTGCAGGTGATGGCGGACATGGCCCTGAATCAAGTCGGGAACCGAGACACGGCCGCGTTGACCCGGAGCGAATACCGGCGCCTCGCCATCGCCGTCCAGCTCATTCGCGATCCAGGTAATAAAAAAAATTTAAAGAATGATTTCATCAATTTAAATATATATATTTTTTTAATTTAATAAATAATTTTAAAATTAAAAATTAATGTATATATTTTATGGTAATTCTAAATTATTTTATGGACACTTCATGCTAATTTTAAATGTAACAAATAATTTCGTGCATTTAAAATTAACATAAAATATCCGGGAAATTCAATATCGATCTGCGACAGTCGTGGTGCTGCTGGACGAGCCGACGTGGGACCTGGACCCGCTCAACACGTATTTCATCATCTCGATCCTGTCGAATCTCGCGAAGAAGAATCACCGGATCGTGATCCTCACGATGGAGAAGCCGAGATCCGACATCTTCCCCTTCCTCGACCGGGTCACATACCTTTGCCTCGGTATGTCTCCGTTGGGAAGATAAAATGGAGTAAAATTTTAATAAATTTAGAAAATAAGATATACATAGTGAAAATAGGAAATTATAATTAAATATGCCTAGGAAGAACTTCGAATAAATGTCTTAAATGATCAAAATAAGTAAATATGATTTAAAAAGCCGAGCCGATTTATTAAATGGTTGATTCTGAGGTGGAGTTAATCCTTTTTTGGGTGAACTGTAGGGGAGGTGGTGTACGCCGGGAGCACCCGATTGATGCTGGATTACTTCAGGTCCATCGGGTTCCCCTGCCCCGAGCTGGAGAATCCCCTCATGTACTACTGTGAGTCTCTTTCTATGTATTATTCAATAAATAAATAAAAATAGAAAGTTAAAAAAAAATAGTAATAATAGTTTTAAATAATAAAAATTTAAATGTAAAAAAAATTGAAAAAGAGGATATTTTTAAAACGTTTGGAAACCGCCGAGCAGTGTGCCTGTCGACGGTGGACCGCCGGACGCGCGAGAGGTTCCTCGAGAGCACGAGCCAGATCTCGGCGCTGGTGGAGCGGTTCAAGGCGGAGGGAGGCCCGTTCCGGCAGTTCTCGGCGCCGCACCTGGGGGAGGCGACGCCGGACCCGTACGAGACGCCGGCGGTGCAGCACCGGGTGCCGCTGACGGCGTACGGGCCGCCGTTTGCCGTCACGAAGATCTGGACGCTCTTCGCGTGAGTGGCGTGGTCGATTCGGTTCGCCGTTGATTTTTCGTGTGTCGTGGGTGGATTCGGTGAGATGATGGAACGGATCTCGCAGGCGGATGTGGTCGATGACGTGGAACCTGAAGGAGATGGGGAGGAAGGAGTTGTTTCTGCGGCTGTTTCTCTTGCCGTTTTACTTCTTCGTCCTCTGGATTTTCGTGTATCGGCTGGAGGAGACGCAGAGGTCGTTCGTGACGAGGAACGGATTGATGCTGCATACGCTGGCGGGGGTGTCGTTTCTTTCGGCTGTCGTCACGGCTGTCACTTGTGAGGGATTGGGTCGTGTCTGGGGAAGGGGGGGGTATCACTCGAGAGTGGATTGTGGGGGGGAATGAGAGGCTGTTAGCTATTCTACTCGGGGAGAGGAGAGATTGTTACTGTGTCACGGACGGCTGGAGATGAAAAAAAAATGGCCTGAAAGTCCCGCCTGCAATCCGGTCTACAGTGATATTGCAACTAAAGCCGTTGTATTCGAGTGCATCTGCTTGACGAGTTTTGGATGTGTTAATAGTCGCCCCGGTGAGAACGGCGTTCTACCAGGAGACTCGAGACGGAACGTACAAGACGTGGCACTTCCTCCTGGCATACACCATCCGATCGGCCCTGCTCTCCTTATTCGCCGTCTTCGCCTCCGCGGCCATCATCTACTGGTGAGGAGGGAGGGGAGGGGAGGGGAGGAGAGGGAGGTAGGTAGGGAGGGGAGGGAGGAGGGCTCGTTCATCATAAGGACGCGTGCCAAATTCCAGCCTGAATGAATGAATGAATAGGGGATGCGGGTTGCGGGATGATGTGATCCGGTTCCTCTTCTTCGCGGGGGTGCTCTATGCGGTGAATATGTTTGCGGAGCAGCAGACCGTCGCTCTCATGCTGGTCGTCAAGGCGTCGTATCATGCAGTCATCGCATCCTTCTTCTTCCTCATTCTCTATATCGCCCTGGCCAGCGGAACTCTCAAGTACGACTTCGTTGCACTTTTTATTTGCCTTGCTCTAGGTGTATTTAAATTAGAACGTTTGCGAAGATACTGTGGAAGCAGTGGGAAAAAAAAATTCTTTTTAGTTTTGTTTTTAAACCATTTCGTCCAAGTCCATAAGAGGGCAGCAGCAAGTTTTCCTAATTATTTTTTCATGCACACCTTGCACTTTCATTTCGACCAATCTTTCAAGTCGACGTGTTTACTGCTTAACCACTGTAGGATTAAGGCTAGGTAGGATTGTCGAAGCACGTTCGACGAAGGAGGCCTTCACGTTTTGGCAAAAAGAAGTTGCCAAAATGGCACTCAAGCGAAAACAAGAAAAAAAAACTGGAGTCATGAATAATAACAGCAAATACACGAATATAATATATAATAAATAATAATACGAACCCCCGATTGGACACTCTTCAGGAGCCTGCTGACCCTCTCGGGTTGGCTCTACTACTTGAGCTACGCCGTGATCTACCGATACGCGGGGGCGTTCCTCCACGAGAGCGAGTTCCGAGGGAACCTGGTGGCGCTGCCGTCGCGGAACGCGACGACGTGCCGACAGACGAACGCGGATTTCGGCTGTCGGTACGCGAACGGGACGCACTATCTGACCGAGCGGTACTTCTTCACGGACGAGGTGATGAACTCCACGCAGTACTTGTCTCAGAGGCTGAACCTGGACCCGGAGCGGCATCCGGAGGACCTGCAGTACTATTTCAACTTCGCCATGTGCCACGCCTTTGCGGTCGGGATGCTCCTCGTCAATTTCGTCCTTTATTCGCTGCCGCAGCCGAGGTTCATGAAGGCGAAGTTCAGGGATGGGAATCTCTGATGGTGACAATGGTAGAAGAGTGTGAATATTTTTTTTTTATGGACTGGTTGGGAGAAATTGCGGACGTGTTGGATCTGTTTCCGTAGAATCGAATGGAAGAATCTCGAGAGTTTTTTCTCCGACAAGTATGATTATATTTTCCGTCCACTGCATATGAGGGATTTATGATGAAAAATATGAATAAAATGCTCGTGAAAACGTAGATTATTGCCCTTTACTTTCTTCGGTACTCCGAAAGCGAAATTTTATGAAATTTAAAAATTGGAGGGAAAAATTTTTTTTCCCTAAANGGTGGGGGGGTGGGGGTTCCTCGGAGGTGACCGATGGGGTCGGTCTGGGTTGCGAATTCGGGTCGCGATGCTATCAGGAATGGATTTCCGTTGTAATCGTTGGGGTGATTTGCCCTTATTTGCCCTGTTGTAAGGGCCATGTGTTGGTCCAGATGTTCGGGTGTGCCAGGGCGAGTCGATTCGGTCATGCAATGGGTGCATTATCCCTTCACACTTTTTATGGAGGGGGTTTTGGTTCGATCGAACGCGGAACGATTGGGGAGGAATGTGCGTTCTCTCGGGGACTTTTTCTCTTGTGACCTGCCGAGTGAGTGCCTGGGGTTGGTGGGAACTGTTCCGGAATTAGATGGACTCGGGTCGACCCTCAAAACCGAAAGTCGAAAATGACCGATTCCCTCGCCAGAAAAATGCTCCTTCGATCCGATCTCGATCGGCACGCGAATCGGACTCTTCTCGCACGCCGCTACAAGAAATGCAGAGAGAGAGAGAGAGAGAGAGAGAGAATGAAAGGGTGTTTTCGCCTGCGTCTGAACCCTGGCCAAGGACCATCATCGACAGAGCGTGGAAACGAGCCAATTCCATCGAGGGCCCATTCGCATCCGGGTTATATTGGGACTCACCAGGTCCCATCCCCGAAAGTATCTAGAGAACGTCCGCACATTTTTATTACACCCTCTCGTACCACTAATACCACATATAATTCCCTTCCTTTTCTCCTGGAGAAAACCAAAGAGTTCCAGACAAATATTTTCTCTCTCCATCATTACGCCCCAGTATATGTAATTACAACGATGCACCCCTACCTCGATAGTCCGCAACGATGAAATCCAAGCCCCACCCAATCCCTAATATTCTTTGTGCGATCCCGGATAAGGTCCCCGATTTCACTGCACCCACCTACACACACTCCCCCTTCCCCCCTTCCCCCCCGCCCCCTCTCCCCCTCCCCCCCATGTAAACATTCTGGGGGAACGTGCCATGCAGCGATGAATATTTGAAGGCTTTCCCACAGCCCTGCCTTCGCGCTCTGCATGAACAGCGAGGCACGTACAGTGGAGGCATCCATCGATTGCCGCTCATTGATTGCGGAGCCCTCCATTCATGTCATTATGAAATGACCCCATTGCATGCTCCCTCGTTATTAAATTCTCGGCCTCGTGCATCATCCCTGTCGGTCTCATTTCCCGTCCGGGACTCCATCGGGGGCAGGGATAATATAACCTGAATCCCAGGCTTCTCGAAATTCCCTCGAATCAGCCTTGAACGGGCCTTGAATGGCCTTGAATTGGCCTTGAATTGACCTTGAATTGGTCTCGAATTGCCCGCGTTCGCCTGTTAAATCCCAATTTCCCAGGGAAAATTCGAATAGGGACGGAATGAACCAGATGATTATTATGAGGGCAAGACAGTTTCCCCCGAAGTGAATCGTGGCGTGGAGTGATTCTTTCTTCCCGTGATGGCTCTCGGCCAAGACCAACTTTCACAATCGTATTTTCTGGTACTCTTCCAAAGGTCTGGGAGTCCGCCGGGTTTTGCGCGCTCAGTCATGAGAGAAATGGAAGATGAGGTTCTTCCACGAACTAATGAGAACTTTATAATTAGAGACAAAATCGGGAGGAAAAAATTTTGAGACTAAGTAAGGATGTTACTGGAAACGACCAGATGACAGTAATCCGATCGGAAACTACGAGAGGCCCTAAGAGCTTTTGACTTGGAATTAACCGCTTCCTTCCGCTGGGGGCTTTTATGGCCTTCGATAGCTAATCTCTTCGACGGCGTCGTCTGAGCGAGACTCTCGATAGCTTTGAATTGCCCGGGGACCTATCAGGAGGCGAGGAGATTCCGTTTCTCGTTTTTGAGGTTTTGCCGTCTTGGCAGTTTTCTGCAATAGGTTTCGCTTTTTTTTGGTGAATCACGCGGAAATGGAAAGTGTTACGATGAAAACAATATTGTCTCTTTTTTTTCCAGCTATTTTTGGAGCAAAGTACATGGAGTGATGTATCACTGTAGTATTTGAACTAAAATGCTCAAAATCGTTTAAATTATCGTATTTCAAGAACTCATCTCTGCGTCTAGCAGACTGGCCAAAGCAAATAATGAAGGGATTTGGACGAAATAAATTTGCACTCGCCTCTTGCTTGTCTCACGTACAAAACCAGCAAGAATGGGTTCTTGGACGATTTTTTAAATTGAAATCTAGAGCAATCAAAATCACTTTTGGGAAATACTTAAGTAATTCCGGCAATGGACTCGCCTCGACGAGTCTCACACAAAACCAACTTGATTCCGATCCCGTGTGAAAGGGAGAATCTCCTCCATGGATGCGATGAGCAGAGGATGAGTATTCTCCCTCGAGGAATTCATGACCAATTTATTGCAAATTTATTGCAATAGGAGGAGGAAGGGAAGGAGAAGGGCGAAGAAACCCGACAGTAAAGTCGAATTCCCTTTCCCAATGTCGGCATGGAAAAAAACGGCTCTATTCAGATTGGCCTCTCTTCTTCGGCCTGTCTGTCCAAGGAAATTTTGGTTTTCATGCGGACAAGATCGATCCATAATTGGACTTCCGTTCCTTCTCCAAAAAGAGATATTGACGTCGATTTCGATGCAACGACAAGCATCTAGACCTCCGAAGCAATTAAATTCCTCGCGCAAATTTGTATATTAAATTCACTTGCCATATTGAAATTTGTTCGCTGTTTGACATTTCCAATCTTCCATCGATGGGGCAGTACTGAGCTAAGGAACATGACTCTAGTTGCTGCAATTCCCCTCGCCCAAGGGCTCATGCATTAGAAGATGCTGCATCTCTCGTCAGAGAAGTCTTGGGAAACTTTCTAGAGGAAAGGAATGCCATGATAGGACCAGAAAACGAAGCTGTCTTCATTATTGAACAATCATCGGGGATCGATCCCCCATCCCGATACCTCTCCGTATTATCAAAAGTTCCTCCTGCAAAACAGCCTCTACTTGAGGGAGAAGGTAATTCAACTCGAGTTGAATCGCATTTCCCTCCATTCAAAGCAGAGGTGAAGAGACATCTGGGTTCTCTATCGGCTCCCATTGGTGATAGCTAACATATTGCTGCTATTTGTGTCTTGGGCCTAACATCGCAGAAACATTCTTGAATCAATTTTGCACGACACAATAGGAGAGTTTACGCTGCTAGAAACCGCGGAGAAAACTTCTACGATTTTTACGAAAAGGCCTTTGAATTGAGAAGTCATTTCTGAATTTCTGAATTTATTTCCATGCCAAGATTAAGCGAGGGAAATTGGTCTTCTCTGTCGGGTTCCTTCATGCTTATCCTTCCCTTCCTCTGTGAATTCCTCGGGGGACAATGCTCATCCTCTCCTCATCACATCCATGATGGAGGTTCTCCCTTTTTAGAATATAGGATCAGAATCAAGTTGGTTTGGTATCCTGGGAAGCACTGAAAATAAAAAATATCCCTCGGTTGTTATAGAGGCCGGCTGTGGCTCGTCCACTACTTGTCCAATTGCCAATACTCTTCCCGGTGAATGGAACTCGTCTGTACTTGTACCGGTACTCGCCAGTGCCAAATGTGAAACTCGGCAGATGGTTACCACCAGGTTTTATGCCTGATGTCTTGTAGACCTATCGGTCTTACCTTTGATTATCGTGATTGGATTATATGCGGTAAGCTTGATCGTCCACAAAACTACCAATTACAAAACTTATTTTTCATTTATTTATCTTTCTCCCATTTCCCCTTTCTTGTTTCCAGAGAAACCTGCCATTCATAATTAATCAGATATCGATCCATGTTTGATCAATTCCAGACAGTCACTCCTTTCTCGCTTATTTTCTTGTCACATTGCCGGAGCAGATCGACAGCCTTGACGCGAGGAGACCCTCCCACAGACATTTTTTTTATATGGGCGGAATAATCAGGGACTATACATTTAGGGTGTGGCAGTTCTTTGCATGCAATGTCTTCTTCCGAATGAGCATTTCATCTCGATGGAGCGTCAGAGGGATAACCGGCGGCGCATTTCCAGGAGTGATACGGAATTTCTTGCGGGGAGTCAGGAATTGATTGCCCCCAAGAATTAATGAGGTTTCGCTAAAGGCAGGTCCTAAATCTCTCGCGAGCCAGTGGGAGAAAAAGAAGGGAGGAAGACGGCAAGCTTGAATTATGCAAGTCCATTTCCGTAGTTGGCAGCGGCAGTAGTCCTTTTTTATTTCCAGACCAATTTTCATTTGCTGGGCGGACGAGGGTCATTCTTTCCCGCATCGATCTTCTTCGGCCCCTCTATTTTGTTTTCCCACGGGATCAAGTGTCACAGTCAATATGGCCTAAAAATTTTTTTCGTCTTCCGGGGAACAGCTCTTCCCTCCGGCTTCGCTTTGCTTGTGCAGTTTTACGATCCACTGGTTTTATCTGTCGTATCCCGGGCCCTGGACATTACCCAAGAGACGGGAAATGAAGACTGACCGCACGCGACTGAGGGGGGGGGGGGGGGGGGGGGGGGGGGGGGGGGGGGGGGGGGGGGGGGGGGGGGGGGGGGGGGG